TTTTAATATATCGTAAACTAGTGATTTTTAGACATACGTTGTAAGAAACAAAAATGATCATTTAATCCGTTTTAAAAATTATACACAATTTGATAATAATGTTTTTGTTGTTTTATTAAAAACAACTAAAAAATAAAAACCAGCTCAGTGGGTACGTGGCATAGTTGTGTCCAGTATATATTTAATCTGGCAGTGATTAAAATCACTGTCACAAAAAACGCTTCGATGCAAATCTGTAGATAGTGTTTAATTTTAAAAAATTGGTGGATTATTTCATAAGCAACATCATCTCCTATATCCTTATTTATATCCTGATTACAAGTTTTATCATTTATACGTGAAATATACGTATACATATTTATTATAGAAATTAATTGTAGTATAAAATTTATATTTGATAATGTAGATATTGTAATTTTTTACAAAAATCATATTTTTTTCAACTTTGATGTCAGTTTTCTCCATGAAAACAAAATAACGTCTGAATTTATTTTTAATAAAGTATATTACATTTGATTGAATTTAAGATATATATAAAAATGTCAGTATTTCCGGTACACTTTCAGAAGTTAATTTTTTGTGAAAAAGTTGTCCTTTCGAATCTCCCCGTGGGCAGGTAAAGGATCAGATTTATAAAAAAGATATACAAAATGATACTACCTTATGTATCAATTAAATAAAATTATAATAATTTGGTCATTTTTAAAAAAGTTATGGCAGTTTTAAGTAAAAAAAAATTGAAAAAATGTCGAAAATTAGCGATTCTTAAATTTGTAATTTTTTTGGGGATTTCCCCCCTTTACGAAGAACCAGGTAAATTTTTTCAACTTTTGAAGGTAACGTCTTCGACTAGATACGATTTATAATCTTTTGACGTATCGTTGAAAGATATCGGTTCGATGAGAGCTAAGAAAAAGTGGTAACGGACAAAAAAAAAAACACATCATAGTAAACCTAATATTATCTCAGCTTCGCATAGAAGCTAAAATAAAAGTGTTATAAAATTATCGTTTTACTGGAGTTGAGTAAATCCAGATAATTTTTAAAATTCGAAAGGGGGACTGAACAATAGGACTTAAGTATTTTGTTCCTTAAAGTTCCTACGTTGTTTTATATCACCAGATAATCTATTTGAGACAGTTTGTGATCAGTATTCTGTACATTTAATAATAAATGTTTATTTCCAAAAAAATACTTTGACTAAAAATCTGTAAGTATTGTCTGATAAATTAGTTAAAATGTTTGTTATTAAATAAATGTAGGTTCGGATACTGTTCGAATAAATGATAGCTTACGGTACTAGTTTTACCTTTAACGCGTGCTATTCTGTGTTACCCTAAATTAATAGAATAAGTTTTTATAAAAAATTACAATGCGCAGTTAAACTCAAATTTTCATATTTCGTAAGATTTATTTCTTTTTTTAATTTACTGGAGTATTTATAATGACATATCTGTATAAATTAAATCGAATTAATAAATAAATTTAAATTATTTAAAATTATAATTGTACTAATTTTATCGTTATTAGCCTATTATTTTTAGTTAATATCTGTAACACCAAAAACCATTTGACAAGTTTTTCCTAAAAAAAATAATCGTATATTTAAGGAATTCCACTATTCCTTAAATATATTTAAGTTTCTATTAAATAATTTGTGTTCTAAATATACGTGACCAATTCTAGTTCTTTATATTTTATATCAAAGAATTTCACGAGTTATGTTAGAAGTTTGTCAAATATGATTGATTATTACCTTGAAAAAATAAAGGTAATCATACCTATAATTAAGTGTATATAAGTTACAAAGAGTAAAAGTCAATACAAAAATACATCAAACATGGACTTGACCTTCACCAGTCAACTAGTTTTTAAATGCAGATAATTCGTTTTTCTAGGCTCTTATAAATTATTTTTAACATTACTATCATGTTATTAATTATACTCACCTTGAAGTGATTTAAATAAATTATATTTCTCTCTATTCGTATACACTTCTTCTAAACTTTATTTTCGTACCGGTTAAGCTAGTTGACGAAATTATCATACGTTATCACTGAACATGCTCAACGAATGCGTCGCGGGATTTTAAGACAATTGTGGCGCCGACGAAAACATACGGAACCTTGTACCGTCTGTACTGATGAGATCGTCGCGCCGGGTACCCTCGGATGCTGTTTTAGTTGGCGGTCGGTAAACGATAGGAGGCGTCAACCACATTAACCAATCGGGACATTCGCAGCCTATGCCACCGACGATGTGGCGGCATCACATCTCTTCCGAACGCTTATTATATTCAACTCTATTTGTCATTTTTTTATTTAATAAATAAATAAAAAAATAATTGATTTTGATGAACACACCAAAATGCGTGCGCCAATTAGTTTTATTTTAATTAAAAATACTTTTTTATAGAACTCGACAACAATCATTTAAAATTTCAATCGTATTCATTGCCGTATTAAAGGGTGAAAAATAATTATAAAAAAAGGTATAATTAGGGGAGCAATTCAACCTTCGACTATTAATTTATCCTCAGAAAATATTTCTCATACACAAACTAAAAATAAGAATGAAACAATAAAGTTCCTGAATATTTTGCTTGTTACGTCTATGTTAACTAAAATTACGGTTCAAATAATCAAACATTTTTTTTTTATAAATCTAATGCGTATATTTCTAATATTATATGGTTTTTGGCGTCGCAGCTCCTTACATTAGATTGTCCAGATATTTTTCAAAGGATGTGAATCAACGCTCAACTAGTGTACATGGTGGATAGATCCCCTCCCCTACTATTCTTAAAAACATCCCGAAATGTGTATTTTCATATTAAAATATTTTTGAGGGAAATATAGTTATCAGGAAACTAAATTTCCATATAAAATTGGGACATTTATAATGCAAAATTCGGGGAGTTCCCCAAAAATGTCTATATAAATGTACTTATGTAATTTTTGTACAGATGTTTATGTGCTAAAGACCTAGTTTATTTATATAGAATCTTAATCTTAAACGATTTGAAAATGATTTGGTTATAAGTAGGTCCAAATAAATAAAACTGAAATTAAGACCCATGGCCGCATAATTTCTATTTTTCATTCACCGTAAAAGTGCGCTCCCACCATAATAATTTATAAAAAAATGTTTATTTTTTTAAATCTAGTGTTTGGAATCATTATGTTTCTTTGAATAAACGTATAGAGACACACAAATGGCTGAGTAATATAAAATTTTAATTGTAAAATAAAAATGAAATATGTATCGTTTTTCGCAATCAATTGCCGCATGTCAGCAGTTTGTGTTAAATCCGGGTGCAAATGTCAACACTATCCGAATAGGGAGGTATATATCCCAGTAACTATAGCAACGGCACAAACTGCTTCCCCTCAGCTACTGACGTCTCTCTATCGAGTCTCTTCCCACGTATACTTACATAGTACTTATACATATAATAATACATTCAACGTTTGTGTCTGTTTGTTCGGCTATTTTCCAGCAATTAGTCTCGTCAGTTAAAAAAAAAACTTAAGAACGAAGGAAATCACAAGGGCTCTTTACTGACAGTTGTTGGTTTACTTACTTTTCTGTAATGAACAGATTTCAAAAAAGTTACAAGGTTTGAAAAATTTTAAACAAGAAACTTACAAGATACAATAAACACGTTATTTTTTCTTTTTTTTTAACTATGTATAATTAAAAAAATAAAAGTTGCAGATTATTTTATTTGCTAATATATATTTACAAGATACTAATAGATTCGATGAAATGAAACTGAATCCATTTTGCTAAATACTAATAATTATTAATATATACTAAAAATATTTTTATATATTAAGAGTTATACTTAGCTTTTTAATAGATATGTTTAAAAGACCACTATTCTTATAATGTATTGTTTTATTAATTATTTTAAACTATAATTAAATATAAGAGAGAATACACAATAAATAATTTTAGCTTCGATACGAAGCTGAGAAGGTATTGGTTTTGTAATGCTGTTTATGACTGTCCATAAAAATTGTCTGCACTCACTGAACCAATATCTTAATGATCACTCTGTACATACATTTCAATATAGTTATTAACTTTTTTGTTGTTTATTAATTATTAATTTCAAATAAAACAAAGAAATTTTTTTAAATTATATATATACACGGTATTTGGTAAATAATTATTTTTTGGTAGTTAAATTAATAGATTAGAAATTAAACTACTGATACATTACCCAATATATTATAGAATGAAATTAAATTACTTATATGATAAAAAATTAACTTCATTACAATGAAGGTTATTTTTCGTATGAATTAAATAATTTTGCATAATTAATTTTACATGTTTTAATAAGTAAATTGAATACTTAATATTGAATATTTAACAATAAAAAAATTGTTACTAAATAATAAGGCAAATTCATAAGACAAACATACTATATATTATAAATAATTATCGTATTTCACTAAAATTTTGTTATTTGTGACCGGTAATATATTTGATAGCTTGATCTTTTTGAAGGGGTAAATGCCTCATCTGTCCCACTTAAATGATGTTACTACAATAACATTCAGTAAGTAAGTAATGAAGATGAATAATAAACATTTTAAATTTGAATAAAACATATATAAAATAGATTGAGTTGTAATTTTATATGAAACCGTAATAATCAGCGGAAATATAAATATGAACAATAGTATTCTTTTTGATTTTATAAAATTAAACTAATTGTTAGATTTATAATCAAATGAAATATGTTAAGCCTTATATAATTTATCTTCTTTGCTTTTCTTGTTTAATGAATTAAAAATTATGCGATTTAAAAATATTTGTTTTTCGTAATTCTAATTAATAATTACTGAAGTTATTTTATTGTTAAATAAGCAACTTCACTTATTTTATAATTTTGGTTAGATGAAATAATAATGTATGAGTAATACTTTTTGTGATAACACTTATGATTCTTATCAAATAAGAAATGTTTTTCTTATGATAATAATTTGGCGGCTTTTTCATCTAGCCTAATGCTAACAAGACAGCTGCAATGGATTTTATATTGTTTAGTATTGCTCGTTTCAACTTAACACAATAGTCAAGCAGCAGCTGTATTATCGTTATGTGCTTTATTTATTGACAGTATTCTATGCTTAATTATTTGCAGAGTAAGTAACATTTTATAAATTTTTTTTTTTGTTGTGAGTATAATTATAGTAAATATTTCGATTATTTTGTGTCATTTTTTATTTCAGAGTTTTATTAAATAAGTATTAATATGGCACCTGTAGAAAGTACAGACACTGAACCAAGAGGTATTAAACGCGAGTATAGTGAATCGCCTGAACGAGAGAAGAAATTAAAAACATCTCCTGTAATTACTACTGATGTGAAACCTAATGTGAGGTGTAAGTATTGTTATCGTACACAAACTGAAAGTGTTTCTATTCCATCCAATGCTGAACCCGAATGTATTGTTCTTACCAATGAGACATTAGCCAATATTTATACTGATAATTTTAATGTTATTCAGCATAATTTAACTGATTTTAGTATTTATGATGAAAATGGTCACATGTGCTCGATTGACACTGGTATGATGGAAAGAAATATGGCATTATATTTAACTGGATATGTTAAACCAATATATGATCATAATCCAAGTGTTGAAGAAGGAATTCCTGCAAAAGAATTAGGTCCCATATTAGAATGGTGGTTATCCTCATATGATGGAGGAGATAAAGCTTTAATTGGTATATCTACCGATTATGCTGATTACTTACTTATTGAGCCACATCCGAGTTATAAAAAATATATGACATCTGTTACCGAGAAAATACATTTAAGTAAATTGGTGATAGAGAGTATGATAGATAATAGCGAATCAGATGATCCAACTTATGAAGATATTTTAAATTGTATTGTTAATTCTATTAATCCAGCAACTGGAAATAAATTCACTGAAGAAGATCTTATCGCTCATGCTCAGTTTGTTTTGGATCAAGTAGCAGATTATGATTCAAATGATACATATTACTTACCATTATCTGATACTCAATGTATTGATACATTGACTCAGTTATCTGGTGCAGCAAAACCTGTTAAAACCTTAGCTAAAAGATCAGAAAGAGCTGGACATAGAACAAGAGGTGTTAAAACAGATGTTAGTAAACGAGAATTTAGTAAAGCTACAACCACTGAATTAGTCAAAGATGTATTTGAAAATATGTTTGCTGCTCAATTAGATAATGAAGATAAAGAAAATGAGGTAGCAGTTAATAAGTTAGTAAAAAATGTGATAGAGGATGCATGTAAAGTAAAAGTTAAAGAAGAATCTAATATTGAAAATTCAAATGATAATCAGGTTATGTGGAAAGATCACAAACTAAGTGAAAAAATGTTTGTAGTTGTAAAGAGTTCTGATCAAGCAGTTCCTCTTATTGGACGAATAGAATATTTTTACAAAAACAATTTTAAAGATAAAGCTCATATAAGTTTATTCATGCATAGTTATGAAACAGTATTAGGTCAAGCATCAGATCCCCAAGAAATTTTTGCCTTAAAAAGATGTAAAAATATTGAAGTTAACAATGTTATTAATGTATTTGATGTAAAACAAAAAATTCCTAGTGATAATTGGTTTAAACTTGGAGGATCCAAAATACAAGATTTAATGGAGCCAGTTGATCGAAATGATAAAAAATCTTTTTTTTTTCAATTATGTTATGATGATGAATATGGTCGATTTGAGTATCCAATGGGAAATTTGAATAACATGAAAAATGAAAAATATTGCAGTAATTGTGAGATTGAACGTTTAGAAAAAAAATCTCAAATGCCCGAATTTCTTGAATTAATTGAAAAAGAAAGTCCAGTTACTTATTATTACAAGTTCAAATATCTTAATGAAGAGTATAAAATTGGAAGCTTTATTTATTTGCCATCAGATATATTTTCAACAGCCAAAAGAGCAAATTTTGTTGGTGAAAAACCATTTGTATTTACAGATTCTAACAAAGTTAAAAATAATCAAAGTCTTAAAAAAGTTGATGAAGAAAAATATCCAGAGTATTATCGTAAAACATTGGAAAATACTATGCGTGGATCAAATGAGACTACTCCAGATCCTTTTGAAATTGCTGAAATTTTAGCTATTTACACTATAGATCAAGATAAAAAAAATGCAAGACTTATTGTACGTCGTATGTATAGAGCTGAAAAAATTAATTTAGAAGATTATGGCAAAAATGCTGACATAAATATGTTGCTTTGGTCTGAAGAAGAATTTAGAGTAACATATGACAACATTTGTGGCAAATGTTATGTAGCTTATATCAATAATATTCAAGATCCACTCACTTGGTCAACTGGAGGCCCAAATCGATTTTTTTTTAAAAAAAAATATGATTTTTTGACCGGTACAGTTATTCCTGATCATCAACTGCCTTGTTCTGCAAGATTGACTGGAAAAGAAGTGTATGTGAATCAAAATTATAAATATGTCGATGAAGATAAAATTCAGTATATACCAAGCTATCCTAAAATTGAGCCCCTTAAAGGTTTAGATATATTTGCTGGCTGTGGTGGCTTGTCTAGAGGTTTAGAAGATAGTGGGTTAGTGAAAAGTAAATGGGCTATAGAATGTGATGATAAAGCTGCTACTGCATTTGCTTTAAATAATCCAGAATCAATTGTTTTTATTGAAGATTGTAACCATCTTTTAAAACAAGCTATGTCAGGTAATTTAACAAATGAAAAAAATCAAAAAATACCACAAAGAGGAGAAGTTGAATTTATTTGTGGAGGACCTCCATGTCAAGGCTTTAGTGGTATGAATCGTTTTAATTCAGGTCAATATTCATTGTTCAAGAATTCTCTTATTGTATCATTTCTTTCTTATATTGATTATTACAGGCCAAAATTTTTTGTAATGGAAAATGTTCGAAATTTTGTTTCTTTTAAGAGAAGCATGGTTCTTAGACTGACACTCAGGTGTATTACTAGAATGGGTTATCAGTGCACATTTGGTATTCTTCAAGCTGGTAATTTTGGAGTACCTCAAACTAGAAGGCGTCTTATAATATTAGCAGCAGCCCCTGGTGAAAAGTTACCTCTTTATCCTGAACCAACTCATGTTTTTAATCGTAGAGGCTCAAGTTTAAATGTTCAAATTGGTGATCAGAAATTTAAAACCAATTGTAAATATGATGAATCTGCACCAATGAGAACCATTACTGTGTATGATGCCTGGTCTGATTTACCAGAAATTGAAAATGGTGCATTTAATGAACAAATTACATACAAATCTAGACCTATCACTCATATGCAAAAACTATTGAGATATCCGAATCATCGTTTCAGTGAATCTTTATTAATAGATCACATTTGTAAAGATATGTCACCACTTGTTCAAGCAAGAATGGAACTTATTCCACTTGGAGAAGGCAGTGATTGGAGAGATTTACCTAATATAGAAGTAAATTTATCTGATGGAACAATGACAAACAAACTTCTGTATACACATCATGATGTCAAGAATGGGAAAGGTAAAAATGGAGCTTTACGAGGTGTATGTCCATGTGCAACTGGTGAGAAATGTAATCCACAGGACCGTCAAAATAATACAATTATTCCATGGTGTTTACCTCATACAGGGAACAGACATAATAACTGGGCAGGGTTATATGGTCGTTTAGCTTGGACAGGTTTTTGCTCAACTACTATAACCAATCCTGAACCCATGGGAAAACAGGGTAGAGTATTACATCCAGAACAACATCGTGTTGTTAGTGTTAGAGAGTGTGCTAGATCTCAAGGTTTTAAAGATTCGCATATATTTTATGGTCCTATTATAAATAAACATAGACAAATTGGAAATGCTGTACCACCACCAATGGGTACCGCTATTGGCCATGAAATAATCAAAGCCATTAGTCAAAAGCCTACCAAGATCCTTATGTACACAAAAAAGTCAACAAATGATAATGAACCAATTGAGATCAAAATAAAAATCTGCAAAGATAATTAATTCAGAATTTATATTTTATATACTTTTAATAAAAAAAATTTGTATAAATAAAATAGAATTTTATATGGATATGATTGTCGATAGAAAATATTATTTGTAGTTAACTTATTTTCAATGCCAATTCTATTTTAATTACTAGTTGTAAAATCTAAAATTATTTATTTAAAAATTTAACAATATTATTTTAACTTTAAAACATTCGTATCATTTATGTAGGACTAATTAACTTATTGCTTTAGGAAATCTATGAATTATAATTATTCAATTTTTGTAAATAATAATTTAGATTTTATTTCACTAATTTCTAATGTGATTTATCTAATATTTAGACATAGTTGTTTATTTAATTTTCAGGTTTAAGTTTTAATGTTCAATGGTTGCATGACTCATATTACCTTATTTGTACTACTTGGATATTATTTATTAAATATATTAGACCTTAATTATTGGTTTACTTTATAACTAGTACAATCATATAAAATGCATTTTAGTTTATTTTATGTATTTATACTGACATGTTACATCATTAATATGATCCTATGTTTACATCTGTCACAAAATAACATTTTGTTACATATTATACAATAATTAGTTACAATAACTTTTTATTTAATAGCAAACTATTTTATTTTAGACTAATATAGACTATTAGTCTAGCATGTCATACAATTGTGTTGATTTTCACTTAAAATTGTAGTCAATTTTTTTAAACAAAACTGAAAAAAATATCAATTAAAAAACATACCAGTTAGCAAATTTAGAAATAATTTTTATTCAATTCATAGTAACAATTAGTTTAAATCTAGAGTATTTATTAAAAATGTTGTATAAATAAAATAAAAATATAGAAAAATATTCTAGTACTTGGGAAGTACAAATGTAATTTAAGAAATTGCAATGACTGGATTTAATAATTTCAAATATAAAGATTTTTGGCACAAGAGTCAAAATATATTGCACTAATTAAAATTGATAGTTAAAAAAAGAAACTTTTTTTAGTTTGTCACATTAATAACAACATATATAATTCAGTCAAATTTAAAATTGGTGTTAACCTTAGTTGATAAATTGAGAAGGTATCTACTATTAAACAGTAACTAAATTCTACAAAATAGATACTTTAATTTAATTAAAGCTTAATAGGTAAGTGTTAACATTTCTTTAATAAATGCCTGTTTTAAATTTACAGTTACAATAAATGTACACTTTTTATTAGTACTAAACAATAATATTCATAATAATAGAGCTTATTGAGAATTTTAAGAATCACCCTTGTTTTCTATTAATGTCATGGATAATTCATAAATACAATTTGTCATTTAAAATTTAATGGTACTGGAGAAGATATAAATATACTTATATGTATGAAGTATAATAGGCATGCAAGTAAGTTTTTATATTTTACAATTTATGGTTTTAAGTTCAATTAAAAATGTTGACTAGCCACCAGCTAGTATTTTAAACTGTTGGTCAATATTTTTTTAAACAACAATTAATTTAACATTTCTAAATATTTTTGTTTGTGTTTGTTAAGCATTTCAGTAACAGTTACAAGTTTTTTTAATGATGGCTGAGTTTTGCTGAGATTTTGTAATTCATTAAGATGTGTTTTACAAATGTGGTGTAAAGTACCTAAATTACGAGCAGGATCTCCTTTAATTTTTTCTTCTTCTGATTCTGGTTTTTCAGTTACATTAGATAATTGGTCTAAAAATACCACCATTCGTTCTTTGTTTTTTAATATAAAAGGATTTACAACTTCCATGTAAGGTTCTTTTCCACCAAATTCTACTAAATTTGCCAAATTCTGTAAACATTTTGCTACCATAATTAATGATCTTGCAGCCATAGGAGGAGGTGGCTCAGGAATCAAATTGAATTGCCTAGGATTTAACATAGCTGGACATAGTAAGCGTAAGAAAATAAATCCAGAAACAACTCTTGTTCTTACTAGTCTTTCATAAGGCCATTTATTCATTACCATTCTTTGAAGACATCCAAAAATATAACGTAATGTGCGTGGACATGATTCTGCAGACATAAATATTGATTGTGTAATTTCATCTAACACTACTAGAAGAAATTCAGCATTATCACAAGCATCATCTGGTGACTCCATCTTACATGGGTTAAGTTCACATGATTGTTTGCTGTCTAGTAGTTTAAAAATAGTTTGTTGTATTGCAGACTTCAGAAATTCTGAACACATGGACTTCATATAAAGGTCCATCAAGGTAGTGGTAAGTGAAGCTGACCTAAATAATGTAGTAGTTTCATCTTCTTTAAGGATTTCCACGTCATTTAGATTTCTCAAAAGATCAGCTTCTTTTTTCTCATGGCGGAAAATACCCATTAAAGATCTTGCTAAAGGCATTCTGTCTTGATGACAAAGATCAGCTAAAGCTCTGACAGCTTCTAGTTCAGGATCTAGTATTAACTGTTGCATTGGTGAATATTCTTCAGTGGGCATTATTAAATCATGTAAGTATCTCGTGCGAAGTCGCAAAGAACCCCATTCACCAATAGGTGTAATACCACTAAGTGGGTACCAATCTTCAGTTTCAGCACCATTGTTTAAAGTATTTAAATCCACAGTTAATTCCGCAACTTCAGTGTCTTTAGATCTTTTTCCTTTGTTGTAAATACTTATAGTAAAAGTCAAAACATCAGGAGGAACATCATCTAAAGTGAATTCTTCATCAAATACAGGATCAGGTCCACTTTTTGCTCGAGTTTTAGCAACTTTAACTTGATTGAGAGAAATAATACAAAATGGATTTGGCACAAGCTTAAATGGTAATCTATGAGCATCAAGAATATGCAATTGCAAAAATCGTAACTCTCGTAACTTTTGTGCTTTAGGAACTCTAGATAATTGAGTAACACAGTACATTCTTAAAGTTGATACCCATTCTTGGAACAAATCTTGAGTTGTCGTAGACAAGTATGTAATAGTGGCTAAACAAGGCAATGCTCTTTCAACTAACTGAAAACAATTAGGTCTATCAAATACACTTTCATGTACGGGATATAAGTAAGCACAACTTAATTCTACTAAGCCTTTAGGTTTGGTTCTTTTAGGATTATCATAAAAACATAAATGAGTATCAACACCATCAATTATTAGAACAAAATATAATGATTTCCATTTCTTATTTTTATCACTTTTTTTATACATATATCCTTGCATCTTAATTCCTTTAACTTTTTTAAGCCCTACTTGTTCACGACATTCACGAAGTGTGGCATAAATTTTTTCAGCTTGTTGCACTTCTTTTTGTTTAATCGGCAACTCTATAAGTTCATTAGAATTACGACACACTGGTAAAACAAGAGTATGTCCTTCAACTATTTGCTCTTTTCTATATCTGTTAATGACTGCATCAAGACATTCAAAAGTACGACCACCCATTAAATATCTTACACCTTTTTTTTCAATGCGAAACCTTTGAATTTGATTATTTACATGAAAAAATAGAGAATAATCTCCAGGTGAATTGTCACTTGGTCTTACGAGGAAACTTCCAGGACCTGATTTGACTAGCATGTCAACAGCTTCACTTTTTGTAACACCAGGATGAAACCAATCAAATACAGTATTAGGATCAATATTTTCATCTAAATTGTCCACCTGAAATAATATCATATTTGATTAAAAAATATTTTTTGCTCAATTGAGACCAAGTAAAATTATTTAAATATTCAAACATCAACATTACATTTTACTAGTGTTTAATGCTGAATTTAATATTAAATAATTATTATGCAAATTATAAGATGAAATAGTGGTACCCAAACAATCAAAAAAGTTTATCCGGACTACTACTGAGGGATCTTGACAACATGTTTAGACATCAAATAAGCACCCTAACTGGACTACTGATAGGACATGGTCATCTGTTTAAATATCTTTACATAATGGGTGTGACAAAATCACCAATGTGCAGAAAGTGTGGAACAAAAGAGGAAGATTTATGTTACATTAATTGTGAATGTGACACACTAGCCACATTAAGAACTTAACACTTAGAAAAAAGTATTACCGAAAAAGAAGAAATTAAACACCTAAAACTTAAAAAGATACTTAATTTTGTTAGAGAGATAAGACTCTTTGAATATTTATAGGAATGGCCTATTGAGATGTCCTATACACGCACACACACACACACATATATATATATTATTTGTATACCTAATGCTATATATATATATGTATACAAATAATGGTAAAAACATTTCAGTGAAAATACTTATGTGAAAAACCAAATTAATAAAATTTGGTAAGAGATGTGCACAATAGGCTTACCCATCTCTTTAACAACTAAAACTAATAAGATAAAATATATGAATAACATCTGTTTAAACCAATATACTACAAATTATTTTTAAAATTATAATCTCCATCAGCTTCTGTGCTAAAATATAATCTCTCTTGTAATAAAAAAAAAAGTTATACCTACTAATATTTCTCTTTGTAGAGTATTAATGATTTTTTAATCCATTAAAATATAAGAAAATACTCTTTAAATAAAAAAAAAAACATAAAATTTAAAAAATGTTATAAGGTAATTGAAAAAAATGACTGATTTTAATTAACATTAAAGTTTAATAAATATTAGATAGTATTGTTATAGAAGTTTTATAATTTTTTAAATAAATTATTAAAATTTGAATATTTAAGAATTTTAAAGGTAATATTATCCTCATCAACAAAAACTATTTTTTAATTTATCTTTCAATTAATATACTCTTAGTTTAGGGGGAAATTATTTAAAGTTTAATATACAATTAGTAGTGGCATAATTATTTTCTACTTAATGTAATAATTTATAACCACAAAACAATCACTAAAATATATAATACATTTAAAGACGTTACTATTCTTTAATATTTTATTAAAAACTGAATAAATTATGTTAGCTTAGTACAACTACTGCATAAAATCAAAATAAAATTCTTTCAATTAGGATTTTCTAATATGATTACTTACTAAATCTCTAAATATCATTCCTTGTTCTCCTGTTCTATGAGCAGTTACCCAAAGCCATCCATCTCCCATATCATTGTGTACAAAAAAGATATCTCCTTTTTGAAAAGTTAACTCATCTGTATCAGGCATTTTAGTATAAGGCAAAATTGCCACAACTCGTTTTTTGTCATTAACAGGTTCAGGGGGTGCTACAGGATAAACTAGCCTTTCTCTCTTTAATAAGTCAGAGCAATTGGTATAATAACCTATTAAGTCTGACAAACTATCAAATTGACGTCCTCCAATATAAAAATCACCACAAACTGCAGTAACTCTAAAATGATTTATGCCTGTACGACCCAAGTATGACAAAACATATGATCCAGGTTTACGGTCACTTTCACGCACAAGATAGCTACCCATTTCGGACGCTTGCCATAGTCGTTCTTCAGCAGAGTATCGACTCAATCGTCCATGATACCAAAGATTTTCAGGGGGTGCTTGCAATAAGGATATATTCGAGCCATCTGGTTCATCCTGTTCAAGAAATGGATCAAAATCTTGATCCAAAATATCTTGACTATCTTCGCTATTGAAACTCAATGTTGCTTGCACTCTATCTCGTAATATAACGCCAGGTCCACCTCTAATGAACTCGGCCATAGTTTTCCTTATGAAGTCAATTTTGGATATCCTCCTAATCAACTTTACATGTCGTCGCTAAGCACTGTAAACTTTAACATCCTATAAAACTACTATCATAAGTAGTATGTTAGCACATTAGAGTACATTAATTTAAGACTTATGGTTTAGCTAAAGAACTAATTTGTAATTAATTGATTAATAATGGATTTAGGATTTTGATAACTATGAATCATTATTGATAACACAGATTATTATCAGTCTTGACGTTTGTAACTTAAGTGAACAGTTAGTAACGGTGCACACGATTTGTAACCTTAGGATCGTTCATTTTTATCAACCGGGTGAGCTTTGTTGATAAAAACGATTACAATTTAAAATGTTGATGTAATTTTGTGTACTTAATATTTTAGAGTAAGCTGTTCTTGGAGATAACTTATTAAAAAAATGGATTCAAAAATAGACACTGCTCCCATAGAAGAATATCCTCCAGTGGTAAGATTAAAGTCATTCATTATGTTTATATGACATTAATACTCATTGGTTAATAGAATTGGGGTAATGAAAAATTAGAAGAGGCTCAAGAAGCTGTAAAAGAAAACCAATGGGATGTTGAATCATGGTCAATACTGCTACGTGAAGCCCAAACTAGGTGGATAAATGATGTGCGATCGTTTTTTGAAAAGCTTGTTGAGACTTTTCCAACATCTGGCCGGTATTGGAAATATTATATTGAAATGGAGGTATATTATTTTTGATTTTGATGAAATATAATATAACTTAGATTATATTATGAAAAAAGGTTTCATTACTGAAACTTATATCAACGATCATTTTATAGAATGAATTAAAAAAAATATTTATATTATATATATAATCATTTTTATTTGTAATTTTTAAAAGTTGTACAAAGAACTTCATTAAAAAAATATTTTGAAGTTTAAATAAAAAATGTTTAAATCATAATTAGGAGGTATGCATTTTTTATGCTTTAGTCATACCTTATTTAGTCAAATTTAATAAAACTTATGTTATTAATATCAAATAATTTCTAATAAATTATCTTGAATTTTATTTTAGATGCGAGGTAGAAATTTTGAAAAAGTAGAAAAGGTATAGTAAATTTTGAAATAACTTTTTGTGATAAATTTTAAAGTTAATTTTAAGTAAATATATTTTTTTAAGCTTTTTCAACACTGTCTTGTTAAAGTATTGAATATTGAATTGTGGAAACTCTATCTGGCTTATGTTAAAGAAACCAAAGCCTTGTTACCTACCTATAAGTAAATAAATAAATCCTTATTTTTATGTAAAAGGTTTATTGCTAGCCACTTAATATCTCTTAAAATAATTAATTTTTTAATTACTTTTAGATTTTGTTAGTTATATATGTATCCTTACTTATCTATTATAAAATAATTTTTAAGTTCATCCCTTATATCTTATAGGTGTGTTAACAATTTTTTTTAAATACCAATATACATATTAAACTGGCTTATAGAATATAAAATCATTTAATAAAGAAAATGACTGATTGATAACAACTTTTGGGCTTGTCTTTCAGTAGATATTTATATTATTGTAAATAGGCTGGAAGAAGAGTGTAGCCAATAAATGATTAATGATAAAATGATGAGCATCGTCCACGCTTCATCTCTAGTATATATTTTAAAATGCTAATAACTTCCAAAGTATTGGTCCAAAAGTTGTTATTCACTGGTCATTTTCTATTTTACTAGTTAGTTTAATAGGTATTTTACCAAAAAAAAATTAAGTTGACAGTCCTTTAAGATATAAGGGATGATTCTAAAAATTATTTTATAACAAATAAATTGAGATACATATGTAGAGAAAATTCAAAATACTTATCTTAGAAGAAATTAAATGGCTAACTTGAAACAATTCACTCTATATAAAAATAATAACTATAGTTATGTTATCATTGTTTAGAGAAAAAATGGCTCAAGCTTATGATTTTGCACTTGAAAAAATTGGAATGGATATCCATTCTTACAATATATGGCAAGATTACATTACATTTCTCAGTAGTGTTGAAGCTGTTGGCTCTTATGCAGAAAATCAAAAGATAACAGCTATAAGAAAGGTTTTAATTTTTTTAAGAAAATCATGTTTGAATTATAAATAGAAAATACACATTACCTATGATGTTTCTATGTAACAATTCTATTTAATTATTGGATCTTTCACTTGACTCTTGTTGAAACTATTATAATGAAATCAATTAATTTTCATAATTTAAAATTTAAAATTTAATATTTTTATTTATATTAATTAAAAAATGAGAAAAATTAAAAAAATTGAGTATGTACTGGTTTGACTGTATACAGAATAGAACGTTCTAACTGTAACTTTGATATAATTAAAATTTTATTTTTAATAATTTATGTATTCTTAGACTACATTAAAATTATATTTTTTGTTGTAAAATAATAAAAAATATAAATACAGTGATTTAAATATTTTAAATATTTTTTTTAATTATTATAATAATTATCAAAAATATTTAATTTGGTATAGCATATAAGTCATTCACATATTAAAACATTTTCAAAAATTGGATTAAAAAAAATGTTTATTTGTAAACGAAATAGGTGATGTGAAAGTTAAGAATTTTCAAAGAGAGTATAATTTCAAAAATATACTTGCATCAAGGTAAAATTAAGACTTCCTAAACTTTGCATCAAAGCTACAAAATGAAAAAATGTTTTCAAAATATACAGTTAAATTGTTACTGACTTATTAATCATTTTTGTAAGAAAAGTACTAAACCTGTTTATTTTGAAATGTTGAAAAATAAAAATAACAAATAAAAAATGATTAAATTTTAACAAAGTCTAAGAATACATAAATTATTGCAAGAAAAGAATCACAATGAAATTTTAATTTATCAAAATTATAATGTCCTAATTTTCAAATCTCAATTTTATTAAAAATCATATTATTTTTTTTTTTGATATATATATATATTTAACATTTTAATTAAGGTATACCAGAGAGGTGTTGTGAATCCCATGATTAGCATTGAGTTACTTTGGAAAGAATATCTAGCATTTGAGCAAAGTATTAATGTTATGATTGCTGACAAAATGATGATTGAACGTAGCAGAGATTATATGAATGCTAGAAGAGTAACCAAAGAATATGAAGTTGTTATAAGAGGATTGAATAAAAATTTTCCCAGTATTCCACCTACTGGAAGCTTAGATGAAATGAAACAAGTATAATTATTTCTAATTATTTAATTTAATTTTATGACATGTGTATTAAAAAAAAATATTAAATTTTTTAGGTTGAACTTTGGAAAAAATATATAATTTGGGAAAAGTCAAATCCTTTAAATACAGAAGATACAGCTCTTATTACTCGAAGAGTTATGTTTGCCTTTGATCAAGCACTCTTATGCATGAGCCATCATCCTGACTTTTGGTATGAAGCTGCCCAATTCTTAGATGGAAGTTCTAAAATTTTGGCTGAAAAAGGAGTTAGTTTAATATAAAAACTACTGTATAAGTGTATTATGTTATTAATGAATTATTACTGTATAATAGGATATATCAGCTGCTAAACAGTATAGTGATGAAGCATCTAATGTATATGAGAGAGCTATAGGAACAGTTTTAAATACAAGCATGTTATTACGCTTTGCTTATGCTGACTTTGAGGAAGGCCGAATGAATTATGAAAAAGTACATAGTATATATAAAAGCTATTTAGAAAATGAACCTATTGATCCAACATTGGTATGTATAATGTAAAATATGTACTAATGTTTTCTAGTAATTCAAATATTGTAAGTGTTGTATAATCTGTATAATAAAAGGAAAACACTGGTTTATATGCAATCGCTAGTTTTTATAATGAACTACTTATTGATATCATAAAATTAAATCCCAAACAAATATTCATATCTTTATCATTTAAATTAAATGATGAGGAAGTTTGAACAATTGATTTATTTTTGTGAATACTCATTGATATTGATGTTCAGTTTATAAAACTGATTTTTTATTCACGTAAACCAAGGTTGCCTTAAATTTTATACATTGAGATCTTTTTTTATTTTGCTCAAAAATGGAGAGAAAAAAATGTTTGGTTAATCCAAAAAGCAGCAGATACCTCAGGTAACCTGATTGGCATAATTCCTAAATACAATCTTAATTTAAATTGAAAATGATACAACCTTTACTTTATTTTTAGTTAGAATATTTAGATTGAGCTATGTCTTAATAAGTGTCTCAGTTATTAAGCAAAGTGTTAGGTGTAAGTGTAGAGTTATAGTGGGGATCTTGAGACATAAATAAGTTTTCTTACATTAATCAGTATATTCTTTAAAAGCTTCATTTATGAGTCATTCAAAATGTTATGATATATTATTTAGCTTTTTTTGATCCAGAGGAAGTGAGATTTTATATGCTATCTATTTATTGTCATAATATTCATTAGTCATTATAAAAATATCAATGCGTATAATTTTCTTTTTATTATAAATTATATTTATTGATACTACTCATGCAATTTTTACATTTTTAATTGTGATTAAAAAATTGTATTTTTAGACATATGTTCAATATATGAAGTTTGCTCGTCGAGCAGAAGGTATAAAATCAGCACGAGCTGTATTTAAAAAAGCGCGAGAAGATCCTAGGTCTAAATATCATGTTTGTATTTAAATTTTTTATAAAAGCTGTGTTTAATTGAAAATGTTTAAGTACTATTATAATTTTTTAGGTGTATGTTTCTGCTGCATTAATGGAATACTATTGCAGTAAAGATAAAAATATAGCATTTCGTATATTTGAACTCGGGTTGAAAAAATATTGTGATAATCCTCAATACATAATTAGTTACATTGATTATTTATCTCATCTCAATGGTATTTGACATTTTATTATTAAAGAACTCAATTTATCTTATAAATAGAATAATTTATTTTAGAGGATAATAACACAAGAGTATTATTTGAAAGAGTTTTGTCTAACACTAGTTTAGAGCCAGAAAAGTCTGTGTAAGTATTTTTTTTTTTTTTTCTAGAAAATTTAAGTTTATTAAAATTATAAAATTAATAAATATATATTTTTAGTATAAGTAAACTTATATAATTAACAATAAATATTTGGTTTGTTATTTAAACTAACATAATAACATCTCTAATGTCTAAATTAATTTACATATATATATATTAGAAATCTAAATTATATTTTTCATAAATAAAGAGGATTTTTAGGTTTTAAATATTTTTATTGCAGTTTAACCAGAGTAAATATTGTTGGGAAATAATCAGTTACTTAGTTTATATAAAAAATTTGTTAAATATTTTTAAAAAATATTTAATGTTAGAAAATTATTATATATTCATAATTACTTATTATTTGAAATAATTAATATATTTAATTATTAAATATTTAAACCATAACAAAAAAAAATATATGTATTTGATAATAAATTTTATTAATAAATATAATCAAGGAAAATAACAATTAATATTTTATATTAAACAATTGATTTATATTATGTAGAATGCAACCAATCTTCAAATATTATTTGCTTTGGTAATCACAAGTTTGATAATTTCAATTTTTTTTCATGTAATATCATTTATAATTAAATAATTGTATTGAGAGTTGTTGCATTCTGTATAACATTGTAAATTTTACGGTATAAAAATATATAGTTGAATAATTTACGTTATTTTTATTTTTAAGACAATATTAAGAGTGTAGTTTGATAAATTTTAGGCTAACAAAATGATGTTAGAAAATAAAATTTTTTATAATATGTTAAAAAGTGTACTGTAATATATAGAGAAATATGGAATCGGTTTCTTGAGTTTGAATCGAATATTGGAGATTTATCAAGTATATTAAAAGTAGAAAAACGAAGATCAGCTGTCCTAGGCAAAGTATAGAAACACATTTTATTAAAGCTTTTTATTATGTTAATTACTTTTCATTTATTTAGCTTGTAGAATTTGAAGGGAAAGAAACTGCACAATTAGTAGACAGATATAGATTTTTAAATTTGTATCCCTGTACAAGTCCTGAATTAAGATCTATTGGTTACAATGAAGTAACTAATACAGTTTCAAAAACAATGCATAATTCACAACAAAGATCTGCTGTTACTGACGGTTTAGATGATATAGAAAATAGACCAAATGAAAAACGTTTACCGGAACCTGATGTTTCACAAATGGTACCTTATAAACCAAAATTAAATGCTTTTCCTGGCGAACATATAGTACCTGGTATTATTGTAAACATAAAGTTATGAGATTATTAAAAGTAAATGATTTTTTAATTTTTAAGGGGGAACTTTTCCGCCTCCTCCAGCTGCTTGTCAACTAATGCAAGTTTTACCACCTCCTGGATGTTTTCATGGTCCATTTGTTTCTGTTGATATGCTCATGGATATATTCCATAGACTTATTTTACCAGAGAAAGGTAAAAAATTTAATATTAAAATAATTTTAAAATCATCATTAAATTTAAAGTATTTTATATTAAATATGTACATTTAATATTTGTAGTTTTTCTTCTAAAAGTTTATCTTAATAATTTTGTTGAAACAAAATAAAATAAATTTATTTAATAGTTATTTTTTTAACAATGAAAACAAATTTTCTAAATATTTAATAATGCAATTTTAATTAAATATAAAGGTAAATAAATAAAAACATTTTATTTATGTGATTATCATAAATTTATTGAGTTATAAATAAATAAATAAATATATATATTATAACCTTTATTTTAAATATTATGACTAAGTACTATTTAAAAAAATTAAATTTTAAAGAGACCACCTAATCATATAAAAACATTTTTTTTCAACTCAATTTTTGAAAATGCTTTAATATGTGAATAACTTAGAACCTATACCAAAATAAACCTTTTGATGTGTACTACAATATTAAAAAAAAAATTATTCCATGATTGTTTTACTATATAAAATCAGCCATCAAAGTAAAAAATCTCAATTTCTTAAAATGTATATGTATGTATTTATTATTTTCAATTAAGCAAATAATTTAAAAGAATTATTATTCGAGTGAAATTTTATAACATAGAAATTTTAAAATTATAACTGTACAAATTATAGTGAAGTATAACAGTTTCACATTGAAGTATTTTTAGTGATGTTACTCGCTGTCTATACTTATACCAATTATATTGTGATCCCACTGTGTTAGTTTTTTTATGATAGGCTCCATCTTTGAAAATCAACATAAATTTATTAAAAAAAAGGGAATTACAGTGTATTCTCTTTTTTATGAAAAGAAAATAATTTGTTTAGCTTAAAATTAAATTTTTGTGTTGCACCCTTATTATATTGATACTTATTTATGAAATGTTTTTCTCAATTAAAACACTTATAAATTATTTTTAGCACCAGCTCCAAAAGCAGATAATGGATGTGATGTAAAATTATTTGATACAGCTGTTTCGGTACAGTGGGCTAATGAAGATACTGCTACTCACGGAGCACCTAATAAAAAGAAACGAAAAATAGTAGGATTATCAGGAAAAGGTGGAGATGATAGTGATGAAGATATCAATTTAGCTCCACCACCATTTGATATTTATCGTGCTAGACAACAAAAAAGAGTTGTAAAATAATTTTAATAAATTGAATTTTCTTACTAATTCATATTAATCAATGTATATAAAAACAATTGTATGTTTGTAAATATTAATTATGATTTTAGTTAGTTTTTTTTTTATTTGTTTATTATTTTTTTTTTAATCATTAAAACTTTGATAATAAAAGTAAAATAAAATAATTTATTTTTTAAGTATTATTAATTCAAAAAATGTAAAAATACTTCTATACATTATTTAATTGATAATTTAGTACTTTGCAAATCAATTTTTTTAAATTTTATGTTATTTGGCTTTTTTTTTGTAATTGGGAAACAATAGTTATTAAGATATCTAAAGTAATAATAAGCTAATCATTAATAAAACAAATTGAAAAATACCTTTCATTTTTTATTTAATCTATAAATTTTCTATTATCAATATTTGTCCATATTAATTATATGAGTTGAGGAATTTTTCATTGTTGATAATTCTTTACTTCATATAAAAATTAATGAAATTGTAATACTTATTAATACTATGAAATACTAATATTTTAATCTGTCTAATTTAAATAAGGTGAAAAGTCATTCATTTATCTATATATATATATATATATATATATATATTTATATAATACTTAATACACGTATATGATCATTAAAAAAAAATCATTTATTTAAAATTTAAAAATTATTTTATTCATTCTTAATTGTTTATTATCTCTTTTTTATAATTTTTTGTATTGCTCATATATTCCAATTACTGTATGTTGTGTAGAATCTAATTGTCTGGATTTTTGTGGGGCTTAATGTTTAAATCTGAATAAATTTCTCCACTTGTCCTTTTCCCCAAAAAATTTTCTAATAATTAAAATTTTGATGTCTAGCGTAAATGCTCCTAAAATTTTTAAATTTATATTTTATGACAAATATTTTTAATAAAAATATTAAATATCATTTGTATATTTTACACTTGTTTGTAAACACTTATTATTTTAATTCTTAATTTGTGTAACAATAACAAAATGTTGTAAATATTATGACCTATTAAATGTGAACATTGCTTCTTGTACTTCCAAGGAAAGAAAAAAAATATTAAGGCATAAATGAGTCATTCTTAATTTTTACTGAAAATCTGTTTCATTGATATTGTTGTAATTTCAAAATTATTTTTAGTAAAAAATTTTACTGGAAATTTGCTATTCTTTAAACAATTTTTATTATTTTTAAACTAATAGAGTAATGGAAAAATAAAATTTTAGAAATTCTCACAAATAATAATAACAATATTATTATTATTCTGATTAAATTCAAATTATCAGTAAAAAAATGTGTGTATAATTAGTTAACTATTTTATTTATATATGTATATAATTATTATGCTACTTATTTTTACGTGCTCTCTTGAAATCTATAGCTTGTTATAAAGAGGGAAAGTAGTGTACTTAAAATGGCACTTGTTATATTTTTTTAAGTGAACATTTTAAATAATGCATTAAGTGCTCTTTTTTATAACCACGTGGTTATTACTTAGTTTATGTTTTTAGTTTAGGTATCGACGACTACAATAAATAACTAAAAATATTATATAAAAAATTAGTATAGACACTTCAATACAAAGTCATAAGTGTCTTATTGTATGATTAATATGGAATCGAAAATAGATTTTAATACTAACAATAAGTAATATTTAGGATATTGATTTTTATGCAGTGGTTCAAGTAGCTCAAAATAAGCGGAAGGATACTCTTAACTTTTGACTTATTTTATTATTGTTTTTGGTTATCAAACTAAATGTTAAATAATGTTGTCGATTTGAATTATCTTAATTTAAAGAAAATACTATGGATGATTAAAATAAATGATTAAATCTACTTTAATATTGTATATTAATTTTAGAAAATTTAATCAAAATAATTATAACACTGGCGTAATCATGGGTGAGGGGTGACAAAACAATTTGGCGTCCCATCAGGTTTTTTTATACAAATTTATGAAATAGGATATGGGATTATAGCCCACACAAAATATGTTTTCAAGCTATGCTAAATTATTTAATAAATATTTAATAATTTCTGCTAAAAGCATTATAATTAGCTTTATATGTAAGAGTTTAAAAGAGGGTATAATATAATAAATGTAACAGTGTTTGCTTTGAAATTGAAATGAAAAAAAAGACTTTGACAATTGTTTTTTAAGAAAATATCAACTTGTATCAATTTTTGAACTTTAAAACCTAATGTTGTACAAGCAACATAAAAATAAATTATTGCTGAGCTAAACAAGTCTAATACCCTTTTATTTAAAAAAAACAATAGTTTAGCTTTAGCTATATCTGTTCTTGTAAAAATGAACAAATATAAAAAAATTATACACACACACATATATATATATTCCTATTTTTTAATGTTATAAGTGTAAAGGGTACATAAATAAATATATATATTTATATTATAATTATTGAGGGTGATCGTTTCCTGCAAGGATGCGCTTGTACTTTATTAATAAGTTCTAAAATAAGTTAATAATTTAATAGTTTAAAGATATATTAAGTAAATTCGAAGGTTTTTTGTCTACACTAATCTAAAGAGCCTCATGAATATTTGTTGTAATAATTGTCAATAGTTTTGACCACACAAAATTAAAATATACTTCACAAATTTCCATAAATTATATCGTGAATAAATTTAATTCACTCTTTCAAAAAATTATAAATTGATTATGTAATCATTTTAATTTTAAAATCGTATTAGTATGAAATAGATATCGGTTAATGTTAAAAGTGATAAATTAGTTCTATATATATAACGAAGAAAAGTTTTTAATTATTGTTAAACTTTATTTTGTATTGAACATAAAATGATTAAAATTCATAGTAGTTAAATAGTTATTTCATAATACAAAACAATGTATAGATAAAATATTATACATTGCTTACACGAATAAATTAGAATATTGTCGATATCCACAGTTGAATAACTTCACAATAGTCATGTATGTTTCGCATTAATTGGAACTACTACCTATTCAAGTTTTTTTTATTCAAGCCGTTGTGGATTTTTTAGCAACAATAGTGTTGTGTGGTTATACAGGTATTCTATTAGAAGGGGTAAGGCGAAGAAACATTGACAGGAGGGCAGGGGAAGTGCAACATTGAATGCGACTGCCACGCGGTCACACTAGTCTACGTGTGTAGTGATGCGAGGGTATGTTTCGCACAATATACGCTAGGGGCCGTCGGTAATCGCCTCGTGACCGACCACGTGACGTCATCGCCGCCACCAGCTGCTGTAATAACTTGTATGGTAGGCCGTCACCGATTCGTGCACCCGCTGTCGATTTCTCGTACGAGTTTTCACTCAATTTCGTTCCAGTCGCTTATCATAGTGATCGTGTGTTCGTTATCACAGCGCAGTCGTACTGTTTTTGCATGAAAATTTTTTTTCATTTTTCGGTCGTTAAAATTACGAAGAAATTGTTAAGTAAATTTTTGTGTGTATCGTGTTTATTTATATAATAATTTTCGGGGACTGCCTTTGAATTTACAATTTTTTTATTTAAGTGATCGCATTAAAATTTCGACGGACATTATACGAGAATAAATTTTGATGTTTGAAGGTGGCACTCGCCTCGTGTCCAAAATACCTATTCTGTGGCGAATGAACATCGTGAAGACGAAAAATTTCGTCATTGCCGTGGCTCTGCGCTTGTACAAGGTTTTCGCTTGCAAAATGGGTGTAAACGGCACCGCTGATAAACAGGTAAGCCAACGCCAATTTTGGGAACCTCCGGCCTGTAGCGCGCGCGCCTAACTGTTGTCGCACGTGTTGAGGGGAGGGTCTGCTTTCAGGGAGCTTATCGTTATATTTCCCGTATTTTGTTTGTTAATCGGAAAAGTGTCTTGTTGTCCCATTGAAGACTAAAAGTGTTTTATTTTTTACTGCATCATCATTAGTAGGTAGGAATTAACATTTATGACGTGGACTAGTTTAATATAATAAAAATTGGTATTTACAGTAACAACATTGTAGTAATTGCATGTCAAATTGATGTGAAAGTTTTTAAGTAAATGGTGTTATTTTTCGATTTGTCAGAACTCGTTGAGAACAGCGTGCTATTATAACGTAGCATTGTGGTGACTCATTTAGTGCACGCGCAAGCCAATAACTTTGACCGTAAAATGCTATTTGACGGCCCATTAATAGTGAAGCTATGCCCTAGTTTAGCTTGTCGATTTGGACAAGTATTACTTATTTTCGTAGTCATTCCGCGTAACTAAATTGATATTTTTTTAATATATCGGTTTCGATTACCGATATCTCAGTATTCTTAATCAGATTTGTTTTTGAGGTCACTTTAAACATTGTTTGCCGGGCGTTCCGAGGGTAAGTTGTGTGTTATTTTTATTATAGTTGGCCGACACATGCTATCAGCGTTTATAAATATATGCACACCGCAGGAGAATATATCTGCACTTTTAAAAATTATTGCTGTTGTATGACAAGGTCAATCGATTTACGACAATTTATTCAGGTGTAATACAAAACCTAGGTCAACATCTTTGTGACATTCAATTGATAAATGGAAACACAAGTTCTTTATTGAAATAAAGTCGAGTTTAGTATTGTTTTAATTTCACTTTTTGTTAACCATTGATATAATTAAAAATTTATTTTTTATCAAATCAAATACTTCGATAATTATTGCGATTATTAGTTTCCTTTTTTGAATTACTTGTATATTTTTATTGAATTATTATTACTAATTGTTGTTTGTTTATTCATTCTTAGATTTTTTAAATAAAAATAAATTTTAAAGTTATATATTTAATAACAAGATTTGATAAAGTGTTTGTTGAGTTAATGTAACAATTATCCCTATGAATCATTTATTATCTAAAAAAAAAAAATTAAATTGATTTCTTGAAATAGCCTAAAATAAATTAAATTAGAAGATATATCAGGTTTAAATTTCGCTATAGTTATAGTTATTTGTAAAATTTATATAACAGCAAAAAATTGTAGTGTCTTTTTTTGTAATTTTATAAATAAACTACATTTACTTTATTTTACAATATCAGTAAAACACGCTTGATATATTTAAATAAATTCTATGGCATTTATTTTACAATTGCTACTATAAAAAATTTTTTTTTTAAAATAATTATGATGTGTAAAGTATTATGTGTATAGAATAAAATTTATTATTTTTTGTATAAGCAAAATTGAATTAAGTTAAATAAAAATTTTATTTCTTTTTAAACATTTTAAAATGTAATAGTAATGAAAAATATTTATTAATACAATTGTTGTAATAATTTGATTAATTATAATTGTTATTCTAAGTATTCCCTTAGTTTAAAATTTAAAAAACTATCAAAGAGTTGATGTAATTTGATTAATTTGATTAATTCTTCGATTATTTAATTTTTTAGTTCGAAAAAGCTTTATGAAGTATTTATTAACTGTCCTAATAATAATGTATTAATTTTTTATTGATTGATAAGTTTAAAATTATCATGATTTATATTGTACATAACAGTTTATTTGTGCGTATTTTTATAAAAGTCACCAATCATCATTTACAACTCACCTTTTATTAAATTCCGTTTTATAATTGCAGTATAAGTTTTTAATGTATTTAAATAGACATACATTTTATTGACTAATGTATTTTCTATAATTAGTCGTTAAAATTGTTATTATTGTCAACTTAAGATTAAATATAAATAATGTAATTATTTTACGACATATGTAATTAATATTTTCTCCGCTCATAAAGTTTTAAATATTTTCTTATTAAAAATAATAATAATTGAGTTCCACATTGAATTTAAAAAAAATGTGTGTATTTAAAACCGATAACGTATTTACGTAATTTTTATTTGATGGGCTATCGAGAGGAAAGTAATAAATTATTTTTCTTGCTAGTATAATTTAAATGATGTAAATATTAATCTTCAGAAAAAATTGTTCATTTTTAGATAATATACTATATTGTACCGTTCAATTATATATATTATTTCTCCAAACATTTTAACAATTTTCAAATAAATTATTCTTGCATGTATGATATTCTTTTTTTTGTAATTGATATCATATTTTAACAATACGTGTCACCGAAAAACAACTAAAAATATGTCATCAATAGTTTTTTAAATTACTTAAGATTTTCTCAAATTATTTTTTATATAAGGACGATACCCTTTCTAACATTCCCTCTTAGACTGCTTTTTGTGCAAAACTTGTTAAGATTTATGCTATGTACTTTATTATATATTAAGATTGCAATATTAGCAAATTTTCTTATGTAATAAAATCAAGGTCAATTTGTATTGTCAAGAAATTGTCAAAATCTTTCTGTTTTAAAAGTGGATAAGTCATTTCATTTAACATACTACGTCTTTTTTTCGGTCATAAACTTGTTTTCGGAGTATTATATAATTAATTTTGCTAAAGTACTTTTTTCTAAAAAAAATTTCAAGTTTAAATAGAAATTTATATTTTGTTACTAAGAAAACATATTAATGGAATATTTATCGAAGCCTTATGATTTTTTTTCTAGAATTTTTTTCTTATATTGTTTTCTATAGTTATAGTTATAGTTAGTACATTATAAGGTAATAACATACATGAATAATAAGCTCTTTCAAATAAATATTTTCTTGATATTATCTGCTGAACAGTGACGTAGCTAGGAGAAGAACTAGGGGGTCGTGTCCTCCCATTGACAACAATATTTATCTCTTAAAATTATTAAAAAAAAAACGCTAAAATATGGATTTTTTAGATTTCTTTACTATGGCCTCCCATTATGAAATCCTGACTACGCAATTACTGTCTAATGTAAAAGAATTCTGACGTATTGAAATTCGACCTTTTTAATTGAAACATTGAAAAGTCAAATTAGTTTTTCATTATTTAAAGTTCTGTAAGTTTTACATTTTGAAAAAAAATTAGAAGACATAAAATCAATATTTTTATATTATTTTATTACTTAAACACTTAATGTTTCAGTTTTCTACTTTTTGAATCGTGTTTCATTGTTATATTACTGCAAAGGTACACGTAAAATAAATGTAATTATTACTAAAACATCAGTGGTTGTTAAAATGTTTATTAATTATTAATGAATGGTGTAATGGCATAATAATTTTAATATTTAATATTACTAGATAAATATAATATATATTTAAAGTCGTATTGTTGGTTATAGAAAAAGTAATGTCATATATTATCAATTAAGTGAAACAAATTTAAAAATCATATTTTTCAGTTAATTTAATTTTTTTTTTTTTGGCTGAATTGATATTTTTCAATAAATTATTAGATTTTCTTGAAAAAACTATTAATTTTTTTATCTTTTACTTTGGACACCTCTTTCATTAAAAAAAAAAACATCTGAAATAACTGTGAATTTTCCATGAATGGAAATTTCATTCTATTATGTGGTCATTATATCTATTATTTCATCATCAAATTTTGTAAACACGTAGTGAACACCTTAAAAAATAGGTTTTTTTCGACGAATGCCATTATAAATTGTTTATGATTCAATCATTCAAACACCGCAATACCTTTTGGACTAATGACGTTATCAATTTCTCACTCCTATTTTATTTTTTTGTAATGTTTTAATGTTTGTCTGTATAGTTGGTTTTATTTGCGTAAATGAAGTTTAGTTTTAGCTGTGCTACCGTACCGTTATCATCAAAGCAAACATTTTCAAGTACTTTTTTTTTCGATAAAATTATGAGAGTACATGTCGATACAATGATTCCGTTTTATTCCTACTATCATTCGGTGGTAAATTATTATACTGATTTGTAATGCGAGTTAATGTTATCATAAGAAATTCCTGCGCGATTATGATTAAAATATATTAATACCGTCATTTTTTTGCATTTTTTTAGGGTCTTGCCCAGTGTAACGATATGTTCGAAATGGCAGCAAGACTCTGCCGGGGTTATTTGCCTGGCTCATGGAAAAAGGTGACAGTCAAGGACATAGCTGTAAAAAGGATCAGGTAATGAATATTAAATTTTATTAAATATGAAATAATATTAAGAAAATTATAATTAATAAAAATTTTGTTGTTATCAAATTTAAAATCTAACTAATTAATGTTTTTAATGATAACATTTTGCCATTTAGTATTTATTTTTTTTTTGATTACTTTTATAAGTGGGAAGAGAATTACTCTATTTAATTTTCATACCAAGTTGTTTAATTTTAATTTTAATCATGATTATTAATGATTAGTTTTCAAGTTCTTTTTAACCATTATCAAGTTTTGGTATGATGCCAGGGTTCATGCTCTAATATAATATTTATCAATTTCTATGATGTGGGACAGACTTTGTAGGCCAAAAAAATATTTAATTTTTTTTAATAAACATTGTTGTATGTTTTAACGATATGGTAATCACTGTTTTTGTGTTATTTTTAATTATATTTATAATACAACAATTACAAATAGATCACCTCTTCAGTTCTGGTTTTATTGTCAGATAAATATTTAATAATATTTATTATTAAAAATGCTTCTTAGTATTAAACAATACATTATATGATTTCCTATCATGTTGTTTCTGCATATAAATAATTTTAATAAATACAGACTAACATATATAAAGAATGTATAACATCATATACATCATATATAACGGAAATTGTCCAGTCTTTTAGGATAAATAATCTTTCTGAATTTTCAAGGTTATACTAAAACAACAAATTTATTATTCATTAATATTTGAAAAACACTTTTTAAAACGAAAATATTTTGCACTGTATAATATTTTAAAAGGCTTACAAATAAAGTATTTACTATGATTTCAATAACAAATGTTTATTTTTTCTCGACTTGTTTTTTATCCTTGCAAATAGAGAATTGCGTGACTTGGTTGAATGTAATATTTGTTTTTGGATAAAATTTTCTACGCGCATGAGTCACATTAATAACATACAGTAAACACATAAAAATTAAACTTTTGATTACAAATTCAGGTACGAGTAAATATTTAAGTTTAGTGTTTTTGCATGTCGGAATTTTATTAGGTTTCTCTGACCCTCAAAAATAATCAATTTATCGATTATTTATTTTTCCAAGACGCAAAAACCCTAAGCTTAAATACAATTTTTCTTTTTTTAAGGTTGTTTCTACTTGAACATAAGTTTGATTAAAACGATATAAATTATAATTCAATTTACTGTAACAACTTTGTACCTATTATTTGTATTAATAATCTTTTGATGGTTTTACATTATCATCAACACAATTGATATTACTATTATAGATGTTGTTATTATACAAAATATATGTAGAATTAATGGAATTTATTTCACAATGAGTTATTTGGGTTTTTATGATGTATCGAAGTTTAATGTTACAAAATCCTTGAAACAAACTAGGTCATTTACCTCTAACCGCGTGAATCTCATGTGAAATAATTTTACACATATATTTTATATATATCCTAGTAAATTACACAGTTTTGAATACTGTGGAGATTTAAATTTGTATTCTTAACACCTTGTAAATATTAGTATAAAATGTTCAATGCATTTTTCATTATTTTTTAAAATTTTTTTACAGTGGTGGATTGAGTAACTGGCTATATCGAATTACATTGTTAAAGGGTAATTCTGAACCGCGTGACGTATTAATGAGGCTGTATGGCCAAACACACGGGGAAAGTGCGATTGAAAATATTATCACTGAATCAGTAATATTCACATTACTGTCAGAACGCGGTTTAGGACCTAGACTACATGGAATATTTCCTGGAGGTCGTCTAGAAGAATACATACCGGTAAGGTTGCTTACCTTAATTATTTCGCTCTAAAATATGAGTTTTAACGCACTAGTTATTTCGTATAATTTTTGCACATTATAAATCTTATAATATTTATAAATATTTTATTAGTAATTCGATGTTCGTTTTAAATATAAGATAAAAATTAATTAGTAAAAATGCTGCGTTTTATATTTAAATCATACTAATATGCCATTTTTATCTTTAATGAATTTGAACTGATCATTATATTCACTAATGAATTGCGCTTTTAAGCTTAAAAATAAAAAGTTATCTAAAATATTTTATAAGGCTTTAGTTTTTGCATTTACTACTTATTTGCATGTGTAAAAAAATATCGCTGTTAAAATTTTCTTCAATTAGTTATAATTTCCCAGTAAATTTCATTTATTGAACATTAATATAACATAATAAGCGTTTATTATTATTTTTTTTAATAGAAAAGGGTTATTTTTCTACTAAATTATCTTAAATTGTAATTATAAAAATATAATTTAACACATTTATGATTTTCGCTATAATAATAGATATAGTTGCCGTTAACAAATAATTCGTGAGAATGCCCCTAAAGTTTTTTTGCAATTATTTATTCCTTGTTAACAATATTAAAGTCAAAAATAAATTATGGTACCATAAAAGTAATATTAATAGTAAGTCTGGAAATGATAATGACCAATTGATGTTTAATTGTCTTACCATAAGTAATAAAAATTTTAATTTCGATTTTAATGAGAATTTCACTTTTGATCGCAGTATTATTTTAAAAATACTTTTTTAAATAAGTTTTGACATTTTTTCACTAATTTTAAACTGATTTTCTTTCCATTTTTGTCTATAGCTTTTACTATTATTTTTTATATTAAACACTTATTCTAAATTAAATTTTTTTTTAAGATTTTGAATCATATAAAAAAATTTTAGTTCGTTTTTCTGTTGTATAAATCACTAATATTTCGCCAATATTATATAGTATAGAATAATCTTATTTTTTTTTTATAAAATAATTTAACAAAAGAAAATGCTCAATAAATTCCATTTAATTCATTTAATTTTATGTTGGTAACGCTTTATGTTATATTGCTGGTGAAGTATAATTTGTTAGTCAGGCAAACATTTTAATTCAGAAAGTTTCAGATTCAAATTTTGTGAATGGGTCAAAGCTACAAAGATTGGGAATTGTGAGGTTTACATAGTGGTAATGTGATATTGAATTTCAAAAAATATTATAAATTTGTACTAATTATTAACTCAACATTACTGAGATTATAAGGTGTATATTTATTTTACTTTTTGTTTTTTATTTAATGACTCTTTGCCAGTTGGCTGTAGGTATAAATAAAATACTACTTTGAATGTAGGTAATGTAGCAAATATAGGCTCAACATTGTCATTTGAACGGCATTCATCCTGGGTTACTAAACGAAAATGTTTGAATGATATTGGCACATCATCATATTTTGTACCAATTTTTGGAAGTGCCAATTAGTTCCAAATGTTTACCTAATTATACATACTAACATGATCGTCAGACAACAAGTTATACTTCTGATGTATAACTACTCAGTAAGTGTTGCTTTGACTTGGAGTACCCATGGTAAAGTATTATAAAATATAATACTGGGTTATTATAAGTATAACATATTGCTTCATATTTTGTTTTAATTTTATAATTGCTATAAATGTGTTTTTGTCCTAGATTTTTTAGAACAGTACACACAAAAAAAATAAAAAAATAAATTCGATTCAATCCCTACTTCATATGGAAGTGATTACTCATAATGATGCCTATTTCTTTGAATACTATGTTAGTATATTGCTTTTGTATTATTACAGGCTCGGTCTTTGAAATCTGATGAATTAAGCGATCAAAAATTGAGCCTTATGATTGCAGAAAAAATGGCTGACTTACATCAATTAAACATTCCAATAAATAAAGACTCAACATGGCTGTGGGACACTATGGATAGGTGGCTTCAGCAACCAATTTCAGATTGTAATTTGTCAAGAGACAATATTGAGTTAGATCAAATTTTATCTATTAATTTATCAGATGAAACACGTTGGTTAAAGTATGTATTACAAATGTTATTGTGTTAAACTTATCAATAATATTAAAATATTTATCTAGAAAACACTTGACAAAATTGAGGTCACCTGTTGTGTTTTGTCATAATGATTTACAAGAAGGTAATGTCTTACTGAAGGAAAAAGAGCTAACTGGCAGTCGATCTTTATGTCTTATTGATTATGAATATTGTGCATACAATTATCGTGGTTTTGATATTGCTAATCATTTTATTGAATGGATATATGACTACACAAACCCAAAGTATCCTCATTACACTGTTAAACGTGATCTATTTCCAACAAAAGATCAACAAGTACTATAAATTTTTTATATGGAAAAATTCTAGTATTATGTTTAACATTTATTGAAAAATATTTGTAGGTTGAGTTTCTGAAACGGTATTTACAATGTATGGGAAGTGATGAACCAATAGAAGTTATTTTAAATGAAGTACGCCACTTCACTTTAGCGTCACATTTGTTTTGGGGAATTTGGAGTATAGTAAATAGTAGAACTTCAAAAATAACATTTGGCTATAGGGTAAATATTATAATTAAGATTAATTACAGAGGTATATTTAAGAAGGTTAGGGATAGTTGTATCCTGTGATAGAGATAATTTATTTATTAATTTTTATAAAAAATAATATTTTAAATATTCTCTAATTTGGGAAATTGAATTGAATTGTTAAGATTCACATAATAATAAATTAGTTTTAAATTGATTAATTAATGATTAATACATATTTTAGGAGTATGCTGTTGAACGATTAAAAACATACTTCAAACTTAAAGAAAATTTAAAAAATACCATTTAAGAATGAACTACTTGTGAGTACTTAAAACAAAGATTGAGTCAACTGCAGACCAATGTGCTTTAATGTTCTAATGAAGACTGATGCAATATGTTAATTATTTGGTCCTCATTTTTATTAGTCTGATTAAATTATTGTCTGGTTGCACTTTGTGTTGATGTAAAAGTGCCTTTAATTATGTGTTTTGAATGTAAGAAAAATGTTCATTTAAATCTTTTTAATACTTTTTATACTTTTTTCACTTTATAATGAAATAATTTTCTCTTATCAAAAATTAATAATAATAAATTTTACATTCTTGACAAACATTTTTAAAAACTGGATATTTTTTTACAAACTTTAATAATTTAATAACATTTACAGGTGCTTAGTACTCAAATTCTTAATCCTTCATGTTTTTCTAATATAATAAAAATTAAACTAATTCAATATAATTCTTGCAAAATTGAATTATTGTACTTATATAAACTAATATTGTGACTGTCAAGCCCATTCTTATCTTTTTTTACTTACATTTTTATTATGTGTCCTACTAGCTGTTATTTTGTGTAATGAAAATGTGATTTACTTTGTAAATTGTTTGCTTTTTTTTAGTGATTTATCTTTCTAAGTCTTCTTGACGTTCTTTGGTTATTATTATTCTTTAAATGCTATTTTATAATATTTATTAGTTTCCATCTTTCAGTGGTTTTTTGTGAACCAAATATAATTTAATATGAACGTGATTTTAATTTTTTGTTTTTACTAATATGAATGCATAATAATTTACATTCAATACAAAAAATATATATATCAAATAAAAAAGAAAGAAAAAATGGACAAAAAAAGCAGAAAATTATAATGTTAATAAAAAAAGTACCTATACATATCAAATTAAATTAAATAATGTAACTTTGTGATTTAAATTTTAATTACATGCACCATTGTTAAATTTATTCCATTCATTATCACTTTGTTATTAGACTTAGCTTTTAATATAAGTAAATTATTTAACTTAACTATTATACATGTGCATATTTATTGTAATTAAAAGCTAATTGTTCAATGTATGCTCAATAAATTGGCTTTTTTTTTTAAACTAGAAATGTTTGTTTTTGTTAGTCAAGAGATTAAGTGTAAAAAATTATTAAATTATTGAAAAAGTAAAAAAATATTTATGAAGGCTTAATCAATTTTGATATAAACAAATAAAAAATAAATAAATTTTAATGTTTTTATTTATTAGATTAAAACTAATATTTTTAAGATTTTTTTTTTTATAAACTATTTAATTTAGTGAATTTTCAATGGCTAATATCCTTGTTTAATTGTAATATGTTTTGCAATAATGTTGTATTTTTTTGAAGACAATTATTTATTTCAATTAAAAAAAGTGTATAATTTTTTTTATGTTATGTGAATAAAAGAAATTAATAGTGTGATAGTAAACGCAATCAGATTAGTAAAGATGTTTAAAAAATTCATATTCAGGTATTTCAAACTATTTGTATATGTTCCTCTTATATTATCATAAATGTTTAATTAATTTGTGTAATGATTTAAAAATTCATTGTCGGGCAAATGGTCTTGTGATTTCTCATATACAGTAGAAAAAAAATCACTTAGTTTTTAATTTATAATTTTAAAAAAAATTTTAAATCATTGAAATATTCATACAAATATTTATTATTATAAAAATTGTATTTATAATTTGAAAAATAATTACATTTCAAACATTTTATCTATGAATAAAAGTTATATTTTTATTGTGATTTACAATGTAATGACAATAAAACAAGTTAAATAAAATTATTGTATTAATTTTTATTTAAAATATTTTAATTTTATTATCTATAGGAATATATCATTCTAATTACTAGAAAATTTTAATTATTCTGATTTGGAAGGTACAAATAATATAATTTAGCAAAAGCTATTATAATGTTACATTAAAATTAAATTATTATAATTTTAATATTATAGAATTATGATTCACTCAATAGGTGGTAGAAAGCAAAAAAAAGATAGTCCTTACATGAATTTATTTATAGATGAAAAAATATGCATATATGAAGTCAGTGGAGCATTCTAATGATTTTTGACTCACTTTATTAAAATAAATTTGGTGTATTAGTGAATTCATCAATTAAATCAAATATCAATTTTTTGGATTAAGAATAGATCTATTGAAATTTGATTAGGAATTAATTTATTCTTTTTTGATAATTATAAAATTAAAAACTTAATATTAAATGAAGGGGAGCGGTAAAAGTGCATTTAAGTAGTAAAAAGTAAAGCTCAAGTCATTTCTAGCAATAGGTTAGTTACATCTATGGTAGTGAGTAGAATAGTATTTTTGTAGAAATAATCTTTTAGAGAGTCAAGTGAACTAACACAATCTAAACAACACAATACTTTCAGAAAAATTAATTTTATGAGAACCTTAAATTTTTATTTAACTTTGACATGTTAGTATATCAGGTAATTTGTTTAATTTACTGACATATTAACATTAATTTGATTTAAATAATATTGTATTAATTACCTTTACTCCTTAAAATTCAGTATTATTGCAACTATTTAGACCAGTGGTCGGCAACCGGCGGCCCGCGGGCCGTATCCGGCCCGCGTGGCTATTGAATACGGCCCGCTTTAAATTCTAAATCGATTAATTTAATTGAATATCATTTTGTATAAATATAATTGAACGTTGCGTTTTTGGTACGGGTATTTTATATAAGTCATATTATTATTTTAAGTTTTAGATAGTATTTTTTTGCATAATAAATAATGTAATTATAAATTTTTTTTTTTTATCTGGCCCGCGAACTCTTTTTAATTTGTAAATGTGGCCCGAGAATTAAAAAAGGTTGCCGACCACTGATTTAGACAATATTAAATTACAAGGAGATTTATGAGGTATACCATGGTTAATGAAGTCTGTAGTTGCCATTTGTGTGGTACATGGGGCTTCTTTATTATACTGTTATCTTCTTTGTGTATTATTGGCTCATGTTTTCCTGATTACAAAATAGCTAACATGTTTATATTTGTTTTACGTATTACTAGTAATTTTGGTTGTTTAATTTCTGTGGAATTAATGAAAGAAATTTTTTTCTTTATTTTTGTGTCGACATATTTATTTGATTTTCATTGCCCTTTGTTTTCGGACACATTGTAGGGCAAAACGAAAACAGCGGCGGGCGTGCATGGCTTTGGCCGATGTACAGACGTCTCCGACCATTGGGACTTTGCCTCAGAACTCAGTAAGTGTTGTAGAAATTTAAAAAAGTTACAATTTAATTTTAAATATTCTGTAGTCCGACGATTTTCCTTAAATCTATTAAGCTATGAAAGTAAAATCAGTGTTGACTATTTATATTATATTAAGTAAACAGAAATGTTTAATTTATTAAATGGTACATCTTTTAGTTATAATAAATTCTTGTAATTACAATTGTTTTATGTAGTCTTGAATCATTATTATTTGTGTAATTTTATAGTTTCAACTATTGATTTTAGTGTCAGCATATTCTAATTTTTGATAAAAATCATACAGTTGTCATAAACAAATTTTTATTTTGTTTCAATTATTTTAATATTATTATACTTCCGTACATATATGATTTTAATCTCAAAGTATTTTTTTTATTTAAGTTATTTTTAATGTATGTTTTATTATAATAATCTCGGCATATTTTTTTATGTGCTGTTCTAGCGATTTATAATTTTATACTAATAAAATTATGGTTTTTGGAAAATATGATATAAGAGTTTTAATTTTATTATACGGTAAATTAATTCACCAAAAATAATTATTATTTCAGTTGGTTATAAAGTTAAAATATTTATATGGAAAATAATTTATGATATAAAAATTACTAACAAATATTGTTTTTAATTTCATATTCATTATTCTTTTATTACTTTTTTATTCTATTCATAAAATTGTAAACTATAATCTATCTTTAAACTTAAAAATATTGACATTCCATATATGATTAATAGACTTGTATATTCTTAATGATTAATTACATTTTTGTTTGTAATTTATATATACTAAAAAAAAATTACTAATAAAGTATTTGTTATTTTTTATATTAGATAATAGTAAAGTTATATATAATGCATAAAAAGTAAGTCAGTAATTAAAAACATTGATGTTTTGGTTCGTTGAATTTATTTCAATAACTAGGACAATTAATTTGTTTGTTTTTTTAATTAGTTTTCATTATTACTTAAAAGTTATATTATATGCAAAATTAATTTTTAATCATATCTTTTAATGAGCTATTCAAACAAATATTAATTAAATTATTAAAATAAATAAAAGTATTTCAAAATATATGAATAAAGATACTTCTAATAGTTTACTAGAATAATGTTTCTATTTGTTTAGCCTTTAAATAAATATAGGGAGAATTAATGAATTCAAAAAATTAAAACCACAAGTTGTTTTAATTTACTATTATTATAAACAAATTATTTTGTATAGAATAATTACTTGAATAATTTATCAATTTAAAAAAATTTAAGTAAACTGCTATAAATATTTATATTTTTCATAAATGAAATAAAGTTTCAGTAATTTAAGTTATTTAGAACTATAACATTTCAGTATTAAACAACAAATTGAATATTTACATTATTTATAGGGAAATAATGAGAGTAGGTAAATTTTATACTTGAAATTCACTTAGAGGGTTCTATTTTATTTGTAAAAATTGTAATCATGTTTTGCCCATCATTTGTTCAGAGATATTCATTACTTGGAATTTGACTAAGATACTGGGAAATTTGGTTGGGTATGTGCCTGAGAGTTAATATAAAATATAAAAAATTGATATCATATTTTATTTATACTACTTCTAAATTCTTGAACTTGCAATCAAATTTCAATAATTCATGTTAAAGTGATATATTTAATATATGTAACTATAGTAATTTTCATTACTTAATTATTTGTTCATGTGCAGCAGCTGTCAAATGATTTTGCAATGGGAACGGATCAAAAAATTAGTGATAAAAAATTTTGTGGTTGCTTTTTTATTAAATGTATTAACTATATCAGGATGTTAATGTGTATAATAATTTATATATATAAATGGCTCTCTTCTTATTAAGTTACTATATTATAAAATATAAAAATTATACAAAAATGTCATATACGGTATGTCAATGAAGGATTTATCCTCCTAATCCTTTTTTATTTGATCTCCACTACTTGTGATGTCATGTAGTCTAAAGTTTTTGTTGTAAATAACTAACAATTTTTTTAGTAAAATAAGAATTAAAGAAACTTAAAACTTAACAAAAAAATTTTAATCAATATATAAAAATTATACTTTGTGTTGTAATTCAAATATCTAAGTATATGAATACTTTATAATTAAATTACGATAATAGGAACACATTTTGTTCTTTTAACTTATAGTAATTTCTTCTTAGTTGTTAATTTAATTTAAAAAAAATGAGGAATTTAAAATAAATTTATATAAACAGAAATTTAGAAATTATTTATGTTAAATGTTGAGGTATTTTTTTTTTCAAATTTTCTTTTTAGTTACAGTGTCTAACTGAATTAAATAATCTATCTTCAAAATTTGAAACTAAAAAATTGTTCACTACCTCTCCAAAAAAAAACTGTATCTTCAACATGTAATAATTTTGTCTATTTTCAATCATTGTTTTTTTTCTTTAATATTAATAATTATCGTTTCACGAGTACCTAGAGAAGTATATTTTATCGTTTGTCAATGTTCAAGTGTGTAGAAATGTTGTGTTTAATGGAAATAATTTTTTCATTTAAAACTATCGATAGTTATATGAAAAAAGTATCGATTGTAGCGCTACTATCATACAGTGCTGTTGGTTTACTGACTCGTGTTCAGCTAGTCGTTCGTGTGACTTGTTGTCACGTTGTTCTGCTGTACATGTGTTAGTTTCTCGTTCCTGTGCGTGTTCGTGTGTTGCGAGATTTTAGACTTATTTTTTGTTTGCAATTTTAAATAATTTTGAGTATTAATAATAGCTGTGTAGTAGCATTGTAACTATGGTTCGAGTTAAAATTCGCCTACGCCTATAATAAAATCAGTTTTGCAGTAGAGTGAGTTTGGCGAGTTACGGTTAAATTATCTATATTTTTTAATAATGATGTTGTACGTGTTGCCACCACCGACAGCCGCTGGTCCACCGTCTCCATGGTCTACTATACTCTGTGACGATGAGCGTTCGTCTGTCGGTGAATCTAGTGGCCAGCAAGACACTGGCAAAGGCCGCTTGACGTACAAGCGAAATGCCAGTAATAACAGAAGGGTTAAAGCATGGTTAAATGCCGTACAAAAAAACAATCGCCCTCCACCCAGAAAACCGGTAGAACCAATTGGTAGTAGTACAGGACATGAGGTATTGTTGAAATATTTGTTCAGTTCTTTATACTGTTTCGTTATCATTTTCATAGGTTTAAAATAATATTATTAAAATTATGTTTGGTTGAGTTAAAAGTATACATTTTGCTAACTATTCAAATTTAATAAACAACTATTAGTTGGTGTATATATCGCATATAGACTAGTTATATGTTTTTTCACGATTTTCATTCTTAATGAGCCAATTAAGGTACAGAATTGAATGACCACAATTCATTTAGCGCCTTACAACTTCTAACGTCAGCTATTGTTTAAAATTTTTAATGATTTACCTCTGAACCTTTGCTAAGATAAAAAATATTTACATTAGAACGCTATATATATATATATGAAATCCATATTTTTCATGATCTTTTGATACATTTATTTGAAAATTTAAAAATGTCATTAACGTGATACACTTTAGGTGTTATGAAGTTGTTCATTTTAATATTAGAAGTAGCCTTAAAAGTAGAATTGGTTCGGTTGTTTTTTCTTACTTATGAAAGTAATTTAAGTCAAAATATTATGCCTATGTACATCTAAAAGTTATCATTAATCTTAGTACGGTAATAGTATTAAAACTCGTTAAATTGGTAAGGTTACCTATTTAAATATATCATTAAGTACTTGTTGTCATGAGACTAAATGTGTTTATAATTATCTGTTTATATCTCATTTAAATTTTATTGTATTAAATTAACATTATAAAAATGTTGAAGGTACTAATTATAGAAGCTCTAAATTTTCTAATAATAAAATTTATTATTTATCGACAATACTTACATGATCTCTTTATAAATTTCTAAATGTTAAATTGTTTTATTTAGACTTGCGGGTTTCCTTTTTATTTTGCCAAAAAAAATCTTGTTTTTATTAATAAATGTATGGGTCAATCGGCAATTGAATTTATGAAGCTTATGTGCCATTGTAATTGATTACTAAATGAAAACTAAAAGAGATGTTATTTGTATCGACTGATGACTAATTTTTATATCCAGACAAATGTTTTTTGGATTGTTATTATAAGTATGTTATGATTAGGAAGTGTGATTGTTGACTTCCTATTTTTGCTTGCAAGGTATAATTTGCTATGAGACATTTTGAATTTGTCGTACTTAGGATTTCACAATGTGATAAATCAAAATAATATCTTGTATACTGTCATGAAATCGGTGATATCATTAAATGTTTAAACTTTTAATGCATTATATGTTAAATCTGATAGACGTTGTAAGGTTCTGCTGAATTATTTTAAAATGTTTGTTTAATTACTTATTTTCCATGCACATCCAAACATATAAAACTTAATTTAAGTACAGTATTGCGTATGCATGAAATATCTAAATAAAACTACTAGTTGCAACAATTGCACCTATAGACCGTGTAACTAGGTCTATTTTAAAGTTAGTTTGCCTATAACCTGAGTCATATGCAAAATTTACTTTTAGTTATGTGTTGTTTTATGACAACGCACGTTTTAAAAATTATTTTTACATTGTACAACCAAGTTGTACAAGTCTTTTTGGTATGCGAAAAAGACGCTCGTGTGTTAATAAAGTATAATTCACATTTGTTATTAAGTTTAGAAGTAAAGTATCGCTGTATATATTTTAGCCAAATAGTTTATTTTATTTTTTCTTGGATAAAAGAAACCAAATGAAAACTAAAAGTATTGTCATAAATAGAAAAATATACTGCTTTTGTAAAAGTCATGAACACTTCTAGCTGCGTAATACTTCAAGATAGATTGAATGAATACTAATATCAGTATAGCATTCAAGGTCTTCTTATATTAATAAATTTGTTTGTGATTTATTTAAGTTTGTATAGCTTAATTGAGTACTGTAGAGACTTAGAACTTTGAAAATTTTATCATTTAAAAACTAGTATTTTACTATACAAAAATTGAACATTTATAATGTACCAATAAATTAATTGGATTTAAACGCTGAATTGGGTAAATAATAAAACATAACCTCAACCTATTTATTTAAATGTTTTATGTTAGATACTTCATTTTTTATTCAATTACTGATAGATTTCATTAAAAAATTATTCGAGTTATTTTTTTTACAATATGAAAAAAATCGAAAAAATTATTTGTTCTGTTAGCAAAAAAAAAAAAAAAAAAAAATACCAGATGGTTGTTAGAATAATTTTGTAATTGTAAATATTTTTCGTGTAGCTATTTTGAAGATTTTTCGAATTATATTATAATTAATATTATGCAATTTCTTAAAAATATCTTGAGTAGCTAATTAACTCGTTTATCTTAAAATATTTTTGTAATGCCACTATGTTTACGTTAAATATTATACTAGTAATATTGTAATTATTTGTATTGTATTGACCTTCATGTACGCAGTCGGTCAATCCTTCATTGCCAATTTGCGGATTCAAGAAAAACTTGTGTTATTTTATAATTTGGAAGTTTTGTTTGTGATGTAAATTATCTAATTTCGTACAAGTGATGTAATAAGTTATAACTGATAGATTAGGATGTTATTTGTAAATTATTTTCGTGTTATCTTGATATTGCTTGGAGAAAGCGATTCTCTGTATAATTTCATATAGTTGTTTTAAAACACTTATATAAGTAATTCAGGATTAATATATTATTACTATAATAACACCTAGGTTATAATTTATTTCTAATTTAATAGTTTCATCCATAAAACATTATATTTTTTTATAATGGTTTAACTTTTCGTAAACTTTTCATACGAATTAATGTAATAACATTTTTTGTATTTTTAATGATATGTCTTCTGACCATTCAGACTACGTGGATTATTGATAATTTATAAAATGATTCAGACTTAATGAGTTGTATAGTTTGATTTTTCTAAATACAAAAAAAAATTATTTTAATAATCGTATAAATCATAACTTATAATTGTTTTCTTCAAGGGTCTATTAAAAAAAATTATTTTTTTGTTTAACATTGCTTTATTTTTACGTTTAACGCTAAAAGAGGTCAAAACATGATTTACTGGCATAAACAGTTTAAAGGGCAAGTGACTACTTTTTCTAATCATTTAAAAATAATTAATTTTTGTTTTAATTAAAATTGTTTAAATTATAGGTAGTATTTTGTATAACGATATTTTACGTTTATTGGTATCACATATATTTGTTTTTCTCTTTTTAATTACGTTTTGACAACATTTTTCGTTTTAAGTGTTTGTTTGACTTAATAATTATATCAATTTTATAGTCGTAAAAAAACTTCAACTAGCCAATTTTATCCATTTATGTATAAACTATAATAATTACAGCACCAGTTTTATAATTATCTCCAACTAGTTCAAATAATATTTTAAGCCAATTTGTAAACAACTGTTTTACATTTAGTTCCAAACATATTTCTCGAGTGTTCAAAATTGATTTCCAAATATTATTAGGCGTACGAGTATGATAATTGTGTATTAAAAACTGGGTTTTGTGTCTATGACCTTAGCACTACTGTTCTCTGTACCGAAACCTCTACTATTTGAGTAGCCATTAGATGACCTGTAGTTGGCCACCAGAACGTTAGCATCATATAAAAGTAAATTTTTAAATCTGTATCATGTTTATATCATGTAAGGTTTAGAACACGAATTGCTCAATTGTTTTGAGTAATTCATTTTGATCTTCTTGGGTGATAAAGTATTGGATAAATAATCTGAGTTACTTAAGCTCGGTTCGTTAAACTTTGTATATGTATTTTTTATTATTTATGTAGGACAACATTACAGTTTTAATAATAATCGACTGATTTTGTTTAAATGAAAAAAAAAAAAACTCTAATTAATAGGGCATAAACGTCCTAATTAATTCAAGATTTTTTTTGAACTAACATAGGCGTTATAATTTAGCGAAAATGTGTTGATAGTTAATATATTTCATTATTGTTCGTTTTATTTTTTATACTGTTGCTATCGTGCATATTTTGTTGTGCATCGTTTCTGATGTAATGTATTACATATATGTTTTGGATTTGCTCACAATATATATATTATTATATACGCAAATGCATAACTCCAAGTTTCTATAAAAGGATAAATTTATGGATATTATAATGTTTTATCAATGTGATTGCTCAATATTTATTTACTTTAAATGAATTGATTTATTTCAATTTCAGTTTTATTACACATTGTATTCGAATCACGCATTATGTGTTACAAAATGCTTAATGTTATTTTTCTTTCAAATATACTCTTTTCATAAGAAATTTGATTAAGAGTTTATAGGTAATCGTTTTTTTTTTTTTTTTTTTTTTTAAATATCTGCTTACAATTTTTTGTTATGCCATCAGTATTTTGTAAGAGATCAGTTATACAAAAGACAAGAGCTCAATGTAAGTATATCTTTGTTGGAAGGATATATGAAATACGGTAATCTTGTATATTCGTTAACGCTTATAGGATATTGATTATTTAAAATCTAACAAATTGGAAATTTTTTTTTATTCGTAGTATATAATATACGTAGTATTTTCGTATTTCTGTAGTTCAGCGTTATTACTCGAATAAGCCAACTAAACGTTTTTCTGCGTGATAAGATGTTATTTCTTTGAAAACAGACGGCGCAGTGTGTCATCTATTTAATGTCATAATTGTCCTAAAAAAAAAAAACAAACAGAGACTTGTAAATTTTTCACGACTTTTTTTACTTTTATATCTTTAATTATACGCGTGTTCAACGCTCTAAATGACTAATGTTAAAATATTACATCGGAGGATGACTCAAGATTTAAATGTGAAAACCTATTAAACTTTACTTGCCAAGTTATTATGCATTTAAAAAAATAATTTTTTATTCTGACAAAATATATTAAAAGTTTTCTAACTGGTTTCCGTCGAAAAGTAGGAAATCGTGCACAAGTCCGGACCCCAGTCACGGTACGCTACGAGTATTTCAGGACGACGTCTCTTTTATAGTTTCACTTAATAATAAATATGACGAAGACGACCGGCGTTGAAAATATAATAAACCTACATTTTAAAT